ATGGTTTCGTTCTTAAGCCATTACAATCGGATTGCGGATCCATGATTTAAAAAATAACGCAGTTTTCAAATCTCAGTTTTGTTCACATTAACAAAAATATTTTAGCTACTTTTAAGCAGATCACCACGTTGAACTATACTATCGTGTACACCTGTTCTCCTGAATCCTCGGAAGTCGGAAATGCACGAGCATTTTCATATACATTTGCAATGATATACTGCTTTTCAGATTTCTAACTTTTTGAAGGGCTGCAGAATGTTGCATAGTATTCCTGCGTAATTCTTTTTGGCTCCGAGAAAAGTGAAGAAAAAAAATAATTGAAGTTAGCAACAAATTCTACCATGGAGGTGTACCATGGAGAAAGCATAAAGCATAAACGCCGTAGTGACGTAACGGAGGCAAGCTTGATTTTAACGGCTGGCGTATGTCCAACGAACTCATGCGCAGACTATCATTAGTATTTTTATGATGGTGATCATTTGGTGTACGTCTTTATGCATATATGTATCCATTTATATGTATAGTTTCGCTTTCATCGATTTTTTGTTGCTGTTTTTTATGCCAATCAACTAGCCCAGTTAACAGTAGTATAACAGTTATTTGCAGGTGATGGACCGACCAGATTCAATTGGGCGACCACTACGGCCAAGTTTACCGGTAATGGATTTACCACAGATGCCGGTAACTAGTGCATTAGGAAGTTCACCTGAGCTGTTAGTCAAATTGTCTTTTAAATTTTGCATTGAATTTTGAACAATTATATAACGGTTATAATTGCTTTAGAAACATTTAAGAAAGCCATTTAATTTTCTGAAGGAAGAAAGTTTTTCTAAAATGTTTTACATTTCCTGTAAAGAAATTGTCATATTTCGAAATTGCCGTTTGATTGATTGACACTTAAAGTGAATATTTAGACGTGAAATTTACTCGCAATACGAGAATAAGCTAAGATTTTCGGCACAAGAATGCTATCCGCTGTGTACTAATGACTTGATAGATGAAGGTGTTATTGGAGCTGGTAGTTTTGGTCAAGTTAAACGAATGCGACATAGACCGTCCAATCATGTACTAGCTGTAAAGGTATTGCTTTTCTCAGTTATATGGTGTGTTCTTTTGTAACAACATTAAAGTAGGTCTTTTTTTTTTTTGTTAATTTTGGTTATTCTATTTCATTTTTCAAGCCCGTAGTTTTTTTTTTGTCATACTTTATTTATCTTTATTGCCTTTTCACTCTCTTTTTGTGTTTAGTTTATTCGTGCCAATACAGTTAATGCTGCAGAAAGAAAACACCTTCTTATAGAATTAGAAGCTATCATGAAGAGTGTTTGTGAGAATATTGTTCAGTTTTACGGTGCGACTTTCAAAGAAGTAGGTTGTTAAATTATGGAATGTTTTACTGCTTGATACTTTGATCTACTTATTTTCTTTTATTACATTTTACTTTTTTTAATTGTTTTGAAAGACGAGAATATGTTACAGCAAGATTGTTGGATCTGTATGGAAATTATGGATATATCTTTGGAGAAACTCTATCGTACAGTAATGGTTCTAGGAAAACAGATACCTGAGGAAATAATGGGATACATAACAGTTTCAGTAATTTTTTTTTTTTTTGTGAATCGCTGCAAATTTTATGATTCTGTTTGAATTTTTTGAAGTTATTTTTTAATTATTTTTACTTCTAGGAATTGTAAGGGTCAGACTGCAAATTGTTGCTTAAGTTTTGAAAGCAAAATCCTTACGGGAATAGAACTGATGCATAACTTATTTTGATCCTCTCTTAGATTAGCCCTTATTATTGCAGACCGTGAATGCGCTGAGCTACCTTAAAGAGGAGCTCAAAATTATGCATAGAGGTTAGCATAAAGTTTTTTTTTTGGTTTTCAAATATTTATAGAGTAAGTTATTATTCCGATAGTCTTTGAGATAGATTTCCATATAATGTGGATATTGATCAGTGGATTTTGTTTCTTGAAGTGCCTTTTTCTTTTCTTTCTATCACTCTGTTTCACTTAACGATAACTGCATATATCTACATAACCCTTGCTTCGTTTTATTTATTTTAGATGTAAAACCCTCGAACATTCTTCTAAACAGAAAAGGATATGTAAAATTGTGTGACTTTGGTATTTCTGGTCGCCTGATCGATTCAATTGTAAAAAGTCAAGATGTTGGCTGTCGCCCATATATGGCTGTAAGTTAATGTGTCACTCAAGAACGCATGAATGCAGCAGATGTGAGGCCGTAATTTTATGTTTTTAGCCTGAACGAGTACAATCTTCAGATCCTTACGACGTTCGGTCGGATGTTTGGTCCCTAGGAATTACACTTGTAAATAATGCTTATTAATTTCTGTTTAAATAAGGATGAAGTTTTTGAGTTTTGGCAGGTTCTAGAACATTTACTTGATTTCAGTTTGAAGCTGCCACTGGACAGTTCCCATATTCGGTTTGGGACAACTTGTTTCAACAACTTGATGAAGTTGTAAATGGTTCTCCTCCAGTTATGGAACCTGGCAACTACTCGCCACAGTTTGCTACCTTTGTTAATACCTGGTAAATGCTCTATTTTATTCTCTTAAGAGACCCATTGAACCTACGTAAATTTAATGTTTTAGAAATTTTCTGTTGAGGAATTGCAAAACTTGCTTTAAAAAGTGTAGTCCGATACAGCTGGTGGTTTTGCTTTAGTTAACTGGTCATTTTTATTA